GCGGTGAAACCACTGAGATAAATCCCCGGCCTCCCCATAGTCATTAGACTGTTTCAAACAGTGGCATGACATCATCAAATTTATATTTGATTTATATTTATAAATTTATATGTATCAGTCAATGAATTTGAGTTGATGCTCATAATTCACCTTAAAACACTTAGATTATTTAACTACTATTATAATCTATGAGTTGTTACTAGGAATAACTGACCCAAAGATGAGATAATTCATAGGAAACCAATACTGTTCTATTTGGCACTAAGAATAGTAGGGTTAGTAGAAATGTTTGGAGGAAAGATCTTGTGACATCATATATAGAAGATCTAATAGAGATGTTCAAAATGGAATAAGTTACTAGTTTTAAGAATGGGGTGGAGGCAGAAGGGAAAGGAAAAAATATGAGAAAAGGAAAAAATGGAAACAAAGTCTTTGTAAATATGGAGGGGTAGAGGGGTTGAAGGGATTGCAGGGGAATGGGGAAAAAATAAGAGCCAAGATACATCACGTACAGGTACAAGTTCCCAATGATAAATATAAATGTATTGTATACCTAAAATGTACCAATAAAATAATTTAAGGTGAAAAAAGAAAAAAAAGAACCGGCTGGATAACTTGTTAGCTGCATGTTGCAGATAGTATCCAAGAGTTGATGGATAGGTACAGAAGGTGAATTTTTAGTTTCTTTTACCATAGAGAGTCAATCACTTTATACATATTCAAAGTACGTTGATACAAATTCCTTATACTGATAATTCCTGCAATCATTCCTCAGGGAAATATTCTGTTAGAAATGATAATTTAAGATTCTGAGCATTCCAATGTCTGAGTCTTCAAAGTTTGTTATTTTGCTTTTTTGTTATAACACCCCTTTGTAAAAGGACTGGTTCATTGTAGCAGTTGTTTATAGTTGGGGAAGGTCACAACATGTGAGCACATCAAGTCCTGCAGTTTGGAAAATGCATGTTAGTTGCAGAAAGATTCAGTGGGAACTAATCTGCCTTTGTCCCATGGAGGCTGAGATCATCCTTTCACCAGAGGATCATTTCATGAGCCTCTAAATCTTATAAAAGCACATGTCCCTGACTTTTAATGGAATGCCTGGCATATAGAATATTTGCCATAAGTATTACCTCCCTAAAATATTAAATACTAGCAGCTGGGTGCAGGGATACACACTTGTGTTCCCATTACTGATTGAGGCTGAGAGGCAGAAGAATCCAAAGATTGAGTCCCACCATTGCAGCTTAGCAAGGCCCTCTCTCAAAATAAAAAAATCAAAATGTCTAGGGATGAAGCTTATGGTAGAGTGCACCTGGATTTGATCCTCAGTACCAAGAAAAAATCACTATAATCTCAAATTTCAATGATAATCAGGGAAAAATTATAATGAGACAGTGCTGAGTTTCTGTCTTAATTAAGCCTATGAACTATACAAGACACTATGTTATGCAATATCATTGAAAATTATTATCCCAAAACCTCTGTAGCTCCAAAGTGTGCCTAACTTACTGGGAATAGGTTCAGTACCTGTGTGCATGTACTCCCTGGACCTGGAAGTATTTTAACAAGAATCTTTATACAACCAGAATATTGCCTTTAAAGTTTTGTTTTGTTTTTTTTTTTTTTTTTTACAATCTGCACCTGAAAACTTGTTCTACAGTTACCAAAAGATTAGATTTTCAATTTTCCAGTGAAGAACTGTGTCTTTGAAACTTGGCCTGTTTTATAAGTAGCTAAGATTAAATCAGTTTATTCGTACTGAGCAATATTTAATGTTTAATTTTTCCTATGGAAAAAGCTGCAATCATAGAATGGGACTCACAGTTACTGTATTCCTGATCATTGTATACCTAGTAAACAAAAAATCTTAAAAAATTAAGATAAAATAATATAGTATTCTCATTTCTATCCTTTTTTTTAACCTCTTTTATAAAATTACCAAAAAAATCTCAAGAAGTCAAATCGCAGTTATTTTGGTTTTAATGTTGTGTTTTGTAATTTAAAAATAAATATACATTTTTTTACTCAATCTAGACAGAAATGACTTCCATATACTATTTACTGTCTATGTTGTTGGCTATATAAGAATAATTTCTCTCACAGGAATGAAAAGTTTGTCAGAAGTTATAACAATATACTTGTTGAATGTGAAATATACTTCTATCTAAATTATGAAAAATTGTCTTATATAATCATATAAAAGTTAAACTAAGTCTATAGGTAACAAGTATGCATTGGACTTTTCAAGAAGCTAGAAGAAAAAATATTAAATATTTTTACCATGAAGAAATGATAGATGATTTTGCAAATAAATATATTTAATCTGATTTAAATATTACCCATGTATACATGTATTAAAACATCAAAATATCACATTATTATGTATATTTTTATGCTTTTCTGAATGAGTTTATAAAACTAAAATAAAAATTAGACTAAGTATTGTCCCTAGAAAGATTAGGGTAAAGGGCACACTGAGAGTTATAGTTTGAATTCTGATTTTTCTCTTTAGTAATAAAAGGACATCGTGGGGCTGGGACTTAGTTCAGTGGCATCGCTCCTGCCTCACAAGTGCAAGTTCCTGAGTCCTGAGTTCAATCCCTGGTACCCGAAAAAAAAAAGATATTGGAACAAGTCATTTACAGGACTATCAAATTTCTTATCTACAAAATAACAATTTCCAAATGTTGTTTTGAGGATGCCATGAACAATGTGTGCAATCCCCTATTTTTCAATGATGAGACAACAAGCAAATTTTTTTCTTGATGACTTTAGAAATAATATACAATCTCAGTATCTTTTGTTTACTTGCAATTAGAATTTACATGTGCTTTGATTTTGCTGATCATGAAGCTCATCTTAGTTTTTGAGAAAACTTTGTTGTTGAATAATAAAGAGATTTCATGAAAGTCAAAATAGTAGCAACCAATAGCACCACTGTAGTCAGGAATTCAGGGTTTTTTAGATGGATTGGAAATATTACAGAATCCATTGTTTTCATTCAATATTTATATCTTTCACTATGTATGTTATCCAGAAGATGGACTAATTTTAGGAAATATTATTTTAGTTATACATTATATCACTTCATTATATCTGAAGCATCATCAAAATCACTATTTCCCATATGCTTTTTATGACAAAGTTAATCAGACAATATTACTCTGTAGTTGTACTCTTTTATTCATCTTACCTCAGTACTTGTTCTAAGCTGTAAATATAGCCCAAATGAAAGCCTTAATAGGTAAATATGGGGAATTAAGAACTTTGAACACTTTTACATTTAATTGGGTTTTCTATTAGCAGGAAACAAGGTAACTATCATGATTTCAACCAATATTTCTAGTAGGTATAATAAATAGCTAACAGGAATTGTGCTTTCTCTGTGGAACTTTAAAGCAATTCGTAAGCAATACCTCATTCAAAGTACACACTCATTCTGTTGGGATAGATATTATTATTACCACAATTTTGTTAATGAACAAATTGAGATCCAGAGAATTCGAGGGTCACGTCCAACCTTCCAAGCAGAGAATGAAGCTAGCACCATGATTAAAATCTAACAGTTTTGCTCCTTAGTATGTGCTTGTTAACCACATGATTATGCTAGCGGATAGTAAAAGTTCTGGGTTTGGGGGTGTGGACACAGCACCTAGTGAAGCAGGTAAGAGCTCTGCCTTTATCAAAATAGATGATACAAAATATAAGTGCAGGATCATTAGTGGCCTGTCAATGAGTTTCAAGGAAAATTAATGATATTTTTCTGATACAGTAATAGAAGTCTTCAAATAAGAGTAGTGCATAAATATTTTCTAAGGAATTATAGTAAATAAGAAATTAAAGCAAAATATGCAGACCCAAATGTAGTCACCATAATGAAGGGGTAGAAGAGCAGAAATAGGTTGAGTTGGAATGATTGGTACAGAGCCATTGCTTTTTTTCATTCCAAGGTCTATTAAATAGAAATATTAGCAGTCTGTATCTTAGCGTCTCATGAAGTTTTATTCATTCAGTTAAAGCTAGATATAAAATATATCCAATTATGGTAGTCTTAAATGTAAGCTCAAAATTTGTTTTTCTCTTCAAAACAATAGAATGTCACAGCTAGTTTTGAGCAGACAAAACCAATTTAAATAATATTTTGTTAGCATAGATTCAACTCGTGTGTATGAGAGAAGTAATGTGACCAATAACAAACTATTGCAAAAATGTGTGTTTGAAATAAATCATGAGTGAGAATAAAGAGGAAAGAGCAGACATGAAAAAAATGAAAAACAAAAAGCTTCATTACTTTTCATATGTAGTTGTAATCTGCTACAATCTAATAAGAAAATATTCATATGAAATTGCTCCCCAAAATTCATGTAACAATTTTAGTTTTCGAACCAATCTGTTAGTCTCTAAATTTAGAAAATGAAAGTGAGATTATAAATACATATGAAAGAGCTGATGAGATATACTTCCAAAAATCACATCATCTTGATATTTCAAGAGTTAATGTTAATATTTTTAACAATCATTGCCCTCTCAATTTTAATTATTAGTAGTTATTTCATCAATTTGCTAACAAGACAATGTCTATTAATATATTCAGCTTTCTTATAATTAAGATGTTAAAAAATAAAACATCACATTGAATAAAATGAAACTTAAAACACAATATCTCACTAAGGATCTGAAATGTACACTATTGCCCTTACTAGTAATGAGCTGCAAAAGAAATATCCAAGTGGTAATGTCTTTGATTTAATACAGCAAGAGTTTTATAAATATGTAAAATATAGGTAACTGATAAGCAGCTGGAAATCAGGTATGAAATTAATAATCATTTTGTCAGTAAATATAATCTAAGTATTGTACTTCTATGTTTGATATTGCTTGTGTGTGTGTTGCTTTCAGTAAAATACAGTGTAAAAAGAGGAAGTGAAAGTTAATACTTAACGTTATTGTCTATATGATCAATGCTATTTAATGAAGCCAGTTCATATTCTACACAGGTATGACATCAAAGATGATTACACACTGAGAATTAAGAAGGCCATGAGTACAGATGAAGGTACCTATATGTGTGTTGCTGAGAATCGGGTGGGAAAAATGGAAGCCTCTGCTACCCTCACTGTCCGAGGTAAGAGACTTAAGTTATCAAATATAATTGAACTGAGCCAGGAGATTAATAGTTTAAGTTGGTAAGTGAGTTCACAATCAAAATAACACTGTTGTAGTAAATGCTTACATTTTGTGAATTTCTGTCATTAACTGAAATAAAATTACTGCACTTTCAAATTTAGAGTCCAAGTCATGATCATCAAAGGATTAACTCTTAGTAAACAGTAACTTACATGGATCAAATAGTTTATACTGCTTAAAATTAAATCTTAAAAAACAGAAAAGATGTACACTAGTCTTTTTCCATTGCTTTCAATTACTTACTTCTTATAAATGTAATCAGTTTCAGAGGTACTCAAATGTATTCTCTTCATCAGTTTGTTACTTTATACTTGTAATCTGGCATTCAAAATATCAATCTGAAAAAAGTAAGCATGAAAATAAAGTGAAAATAGTTAACAGAGATGCTCCTACATCCTGATTATCTGATTTAGTGAGTGATTCATGAAGTTCACTAGCCTATAAATAATTGAAACAGTACTGCTCTAATAACTTGCACTTCTTGGGTGTTACACACTTTCTCAGTCTTGCAATAATATTCATTTATAGATTTATTGGAATTGCTTATAAGTGAAAGAAAGCATTACTAAATCCTACAGTGCACTAGAATGAATTAACTGTCTTCCTGGTGGAACATGCTGATCACAGGAGGTAAATTACATAGTTCAGGGAACCAAGTAGTATCATCAAGACAGCAAATATTTACCCTTTCCAAATAGACATTATCATGGCATCGTTTACACTTACAGGACTTTAAGCAGAGATAGACAACCTCAACTCCACACAGTCTTTCCACCTTTGTGCCACTACCCACCGTGCCCCCTCCTCTCATGCTCAGTGATAAGGAGGTTAGCTATTCATCAGATTTTCAGTTACATCTGGTCCTAGTTAGTCATAACTTTTACTCTTGAACAGCTTTTCGCTGAGAAGTTTTTATAAGATTAAGAGAAGTATTTGGAGGTGTTTGGAGTTACAAGAAATGATCAGGGATTTTTTTAAAGATACTCCTCAATTTTGTGAGGAAAAAAATGGCTTTTCTAAGACCTCCAATACAGGCTTCAAATGTACAAATCTCATTCGCCCTGAGATAACTGTTAATAGACAGGCATTCCATTCCATATACCTGGAAAATACTGTGTTACTGTGGTTTTCAATTGTTTCATTCCTAATCCACCTCATCACTTTTTTTTTTTTCCCCTCTAGACAGTCTAGGGTGAATCTCAATACAAAACAAAGATAAATAAAACTGACAAGTTAGTTGCTTTAAAACATTTTAACTCCTTCCTAGACAGCAGATCATTAAGGACTATGATCATATGAACTGAATATACATGATGATTTTTTTCTGTTCAAAATTGAATAACTCCTGTAAAGCAATGAACACTCTTTAGTTTACACACTCTATGTTTGTTTTTAAGTAGGCACCTCTTCGCCAAACAGTTTACCTGACCAAACTATCCCAAACTGTGTGTGTTTCTAAATAATAAAATAAAATATTTTCTAAAAAATAAAATAAACAACCAATTAAGAAATGTTTCATTCAAAAAATACTTGCTGACTAAACAAATGGTGAGAAAGTGTGAGGAGATGTTTGTTTGTAAAAGCAGCAGAGTGTCTTTTATACTCGAATTCTTAGATGTAGGAGACTTGAAGTAACTGTTTCCTTCAAGATCTTTTCCAGTTGTTTTCATGATTTGTTGAAAGTTTCAGGTTTCACATTTTATTTGACAACCATGCTCCTCATACCCAGATGTTTGAAAGAACTCACAAAACTAATAAAAAAGCATTGTTTATTTTTAATAACTTTAAAAAAATCCTCAACTCTTAAATGGTTTCTCCCCTAATCAATAGCCTCTAGATTGATTACAATATTCATTATTTGTGGTATAAAGAAAAATTCTCCATAATGTAATGTAAAGTAGAATAAAATATTATTTTAAAACATTTTCACCTTTAGGAAAGAAAGCAGTTGGGATTTCTCATGGTAAGAGGTTAATAGTGGGAAATTATTTAATTTCTTTTTTCTGTGTTCATTTTTTTAATGCACATAGTGAAATGTTCAGTCTTTTTTGGGGATTGTTTTAATAGAACAGGGTCAACTGACAGAAAGGCAATGTTCTATTTCATCTATTAATGTAAGAACACAGTTCAGTTTAATTTGCTGATTTGCAAACACCCACCTGCTGTTTTTTTTAAGAATAAAATGTTCCTATGTAACAAATTTTAATTGTGATGTTTCTCCTAAAATTGTTTCATGATGTTCACTTTAGCTAATGGAGGAAAACTATAAGGGAGTTTTATAATCAAGATCTGAAACAGAGGAGTTCTATGTCATTTTCCTTTTGATAAACATCATAAAAATAGACTAAAATTAAGCTTAAAATTAAGTAGTTTCTCTCTTTGCTGATTTGGTGAACAAAAAATTAGAAAGAAACAAAGTTAGTCAACAACAAAGCTACCATTAATTGCCTAATGAAATAATAGAAATTTTTAAATTGCTTGAAATGCTTTAAGCAATACAAACTCCATATGTGTAAATTTAATTTTCTCCACTTTTGAATTGTTTCACTGGTTTTACATAAATGAAGACCTTCTTGAAAAAAACTTTCTTGTAAGAAGATAAAGTCTTAAGATTTTATTTTAAAGTGAAAGAGCAATTTATTTTATTTATTTCAACATGATTTCTCACCCAAGGTTCTTCTTTTTTTGCCCTTAATGTCATAGACTCAAAACATCTTTTTTGAATTAAGGCAACATGCTTGAAATCCATCCTTATGTGACTATTAAAATAGTACAAATTGCAAGATGTGAGACAAAGTACTTTTTATGTAGGAGATAGAAGAAATAAAGAGAATTCTGGTCACTTAGAATAAGGCATGGCTTTACGATGTTAATCTATTATCTGGTTCTTCGTAATTAGGGGCATTCTGCCACTAAGACAAATGTTTTATTTTGAGACAGGATCTTGCTAAGTTGCGCAGGTGGGACTCCAAATTGTGATCCACCACCTGGGCTTCCCTTAGTGTTAGGGTAATTATTTTTAATCCTGGTTTCCACCCTTGTGCAAAAAATTTAAAAACAAACAAATTAGGTACAAGGCAACTTCCCTTTTTCTCTTGTTATGAAACCCACTATATGATATAGGACCCAATATGATATCCCTAATCCTGAATTTCATACGGCTACTGTAATTGCCTTGCCTTATTCTTTTTTTCTATTTTCTTAATTGTGAATAATACTACTATAAAAGATCACAACTTTCAGATAGAGGCAACTATATTATTTTTTAGAGATTATACAAAACTTACATTAGGAATTGAGTGAATGACTAAGTATAAACATGTTTGCAGTGCTGTATCTTCCTCACTATGACCAAAGACCATCATCAACAGAAAACTAAAGATACATTTTCTGGGAACACATTATGATACACTAACCCTATATCTACTGCAATGTGAGTGAAAGATTGGTCTGTTGAAAAAGTTTATATTTTGAATGTAAGATTTCATAAAAGCTCAAATAATTTTAACTCTATTTCTCCTTCATTTGGATAATGAGGGTAGGTACATGTTTTATAATACTCATCTATTGCTTTTCTATAAAATGATTTACTGTGTGAAATGATTTGGCATTAATCTTTTGAAAGAAAGTATTATTAAGTTCATGAATAACTCTTACAATTTCTATGCATTAATAACAAGGACAGCACTTTACTACTCATTTTAGTGATTGAAAGTTATGGTATAACAAAAAACAGTAATTTTTTAAAGCAGCAGTTTGAAAGCCATTCTCAGTGTGAACAAGAGTCACCTTATCAGTCATTGTATCTTGACCTCTCCAAAAAGAAGGAAAAAAAAGCTTACTAGAAGTTAGGGTGCTACTGAGTTGAAATCTCTAAGGATGTTCCCACCTATTTGTTCTATTTTCATCCACCCTGTCTATGGATGAAAACTGATCTTAACTTATTACTGAAAAGCAACGTCAGGGACTTTTCTGTAGCCCTTGTAATGGTTCTGACTAACCATGCTTAAAATCCAATTGCTATTTAAATCAAACAGTGAGGCCTTCTCTTATTGACATGACATTTACCAGTCTGTGACTTGAATAGTTATATTCAGCAGGTTCTTAACTTTAGGGTAACACAAGACTATTTAACTCCAGGTCTTTGAAATGAAACTTCTATAAGTAATACTCATAAGACTCTAAAATATCTCTCAAATTACTTATAGTCAGTCCTGAAATTCAAAATAATTATTTTCTTAGAATTGTAAGTTTCAGTTTATCAAACTCAGTACATTCTATTCATGGTTGAATTATGAGACTAGAAATCATTCTATTGTCCATACTTAAATGTGACATTACACATCATGCATTCTGATAATTTTCCTTTCTTTCTTTTTTTAAATTTCTTTTTATGTTCTCACCACACCATTGTAATGTCTACAGCTCGCCCTGTTGGTAAGTAGCCATCCTTCTATCCATTTAGCATGGGTTTTTATAATGCTTCATAATTCATGCATATTAGGATTTAAAACAATATGTATTTATTCACCTATGTAAAAATATTACTTGAGAATCTGTCTGCTATAAAGTTGATTCTGAACTTTCCATTCTTTTGATAAACTATTTTTGTAATGATTTTGCTACATAACAATCAATAGGTAACAATTTTCATGTAAAAGAATATATAAATGATTGATTGTATAAACTGCTAACTCTCTTAAGGAAAAAACATATTTCCCTTTTCTGTTGTATGTATACCATCATAAATTACTAGTTATGACTGCTATTAGTTAAGGTTAAAAAATTTTGAACTGAAATTAAGAAGCTTAATTAATTGCTTTTGTTTTAAAGTGTTTAGACTCCAACTCTTTAGGAGTACTTTTACGTGCTATAGCTGCCACATACTTATTATTGGCATGTCAATTTAAACAAAATTAAGTAGAATGCTTTAAGTTATAATAAATACACTCTTGTCCTTAGTGTGAAAGGGAGGGGAAAGTTTGTTCTTTGTATGAAAAGTTAGTGATTATTTTTTTCACTATATTTCATTCCTTATGTGGCTTTGCAAAATTGAATAGCTTGCACTTATAGAAATTTAAATAGTAATTATTTGTAAACATTGGGATGATGAAATATTTTCAAATTTATTCATGTAACAGACTTTCTGCAGCTTGTTCAAAGTTTAACTCACCAATAGTTATGAATCAAAAGAATCATACCACAGGGATATACGTGCACCCATGTTTATAGTGGATCAGTGTGTAATGTTTAAATAAAATATATCTTGATAATTGTGTTATAAGTAAATGAAGAAATGGATGCAAAAATAGGTATCTGAATGAATTCAGCACATCGCTTCTTTAATAAAATAAAAGATATGTTAATAATTTATTCAATTTTCAAGGGTGTATAAATTGTCCATCAGGCTTCAAAAGCTTTCTTAATGTACTGGCTTGACATTGTTCCCATTTCATCTATATTGGTTGAAATAGTCACAGGCATTATTAGTATACTTGTATGTTCTTATATAATTAGCAAATACAGTGAATAAAATTTTGGTTTCCCAGTCTGAAATTCTGATATGAAGTTTCTTATCAGTTCTGTTTTTTAATTACTACTTCCATATTCCTAATCCTCATTCACCTTATCTATAAAATGGAGAGAATAATATTGGTTTATCAGTGCTGCTGGAGAAATGGATTGAGTTTCAGATTCACTGTATGTGTGAAAAGTGTTCTGTGTGCCATTATTGTCTAATGTATTTCTAGTTTTTGAGACATACATTTTATTGCATTTTAATATTTAAAATATAGTTATGGCTTAAGTTAACTGAAATATAAATTGCAAGGAATTTTCTTCAGGCACAATTATTAAATCAATCATGCTTTTTAAAATCAATGCTTGAAAATTTAGGACCATGTTAAGATCATTTTTAATATTCATTTTCTTTTATTTGTACCAATTCCTATTAATGCTAACTTTATATGTTAGTGAGTTGACATTTAAAATTAAGAAGAAAATGGGAAAGAATAAAATGACACAGAAAAAGGTAGAGAAGTGACAGCAGGCTACCTGACCATTCTATTCAATTTTTTCTCTTAACCTCTGGAAACTAGATTTCAGGTCCAGGGACTGACTCAGTTATGTGTCAGAAAGGAAGTATTTTATTATATATACTTATTTATATAATGAAATGTAAGTAGGGAGATTTATATATAATAAAATTATAGACATATCATAAAACATTAATTGGGACTAATTATGACAATCTTACTATTTTTGGAATTCTTGATAACTAAACAATAAAAAACTTCACAAAGTTTACCTATAAGTTATTTTAAGTTACTAAATAGTAAATTTTAAAAAAGGTGATTGATGAGTATGTTTCTCCATAAAAGGATGGCATTAGGTACCCCAGATTTCAGGTTGGTTTTGAATTCACAGCAATTGTAATTATAAGAAAAGGACCTTTCAAATGAACACAAAAATATCTCATTTAAAATATAGATCTCTATAGAAACCTTATGTAAATGTGCTGTGACTGCTTCATTTACATAATGTCACAAGTTCTTAGCATATAACACATGAAAAATTTCTGATATATATAAAACTATTAAGCAAATAAAAAATCCAGAAATTAAAGTGATGTGATTTTTAAGGTATTAAGATGTATCTGTCACCTGCAAAGCATTTCAAAAGTTTTTTCTAATTTTTGTTCTTGTTTGAAATGATTTCTCAAATTCCCATTAGAGTGGAAATAAAGAATAGCTGCTTGACACATTTTACTTTATTCTAGGGAAATCTGTCATTTTATAAATCTATCTCAGATGATTTATGACAATGTTCAGAAATATGAAGAACTATACTTTAACTTGACAACTACTATTAATATTGGAAATGGATGTTAGATAGATTTTATTGGATCATGAAACAAAAGACTGATAATGAGGAAATTAGACAGGTTTTTCTTTTTATCAGCTCCTCGCATCAATTTAAATTCAGTAACTATATATATAATATATATATTATGTATTATATATATATACACATTCAGTATATATTTAAACTGTTATTGTAGGGGCAAGATGTAAAAGTCAAGTAATATAATGATTTACATTTTTAATTCCAATATTAATTTGGTAAATAAATTTATATGAAGTACAATAAAATTAGGGGGCTAACACCTGTCTGAAGCTTTTGAAAGAAAATTAGAAATTCATGCACTTTCTGGAATACTTAACAAATTCAGAAAACAATCACTACATCACACCCATTGAAATTTCTCCTGTGTGGAAAGCCCTATTGAAACATTATTCTATCAACCGCTAACTGGAAGTTTTATCCAACTGGAAGACTCAAGGGCTTCAGCTAGGTTAAAGATGTGGCAACTCTGTGAAATTCACAACTGGCATTAAATACTCTCTAAATTGCAGTTTTGAGATTTTGTGAAAATTTGATCCAGATAATTCTCAAATGGAAAATATTACTGAAAGCAGTCAATTGCATACTTTCAGAGGAAACTATAGATTATACTTACTCAGCTGTAATGTCACTAATGTCTCAAAAAGAGCCCTTTAATCCAACTACTATATTTGCTAGTTAGCACAAAGTCTACATTAATACCACTTTGATAATTAGAAATCCACCAAATCTTCCTGTGATTTTGACTTTTTACTGTTTCAGAGGCATTGTTTATATAAAAAACAAAACTGCATCTTAGGGTATAGTTAACTATGAGTGTTGAAGTATTCATTTGTTTATTTGGAAAACTCTTCTGATGAAGAAACTGATGAGAAAAAAACAGTCTAAATATGGATAAATATCTTACTTCCTATAACCATCTGTCTTATATTTCTATCGGAAGCCCTTCCCAAGCTTAAAAATAAAAAAGAACATCTATTTTGGAGATGGGCAACACATTTTTTTCCTTACAGCAACTCAAAACATGATGAGTAATTTGGAAAAGAACTGTCAGATCCACCAGCTGCCTTGCTTGTGAAGCTGAGCCCTGCTCTGTTTTGTATCTCTGTGCCATATGCTATCCGCTGATCCCTTCAAGTATAGAAACTAAAAGCTGAGTGCATCAGGTGAAACTTGCTTAAAATATCAAAAACAAAGTGACACTATACAAATTTAAGAAAATTTCTGTTTCCCAATTCTAAAATATGTTTTTTCCAACACTAAAATATGTTTCCTTTGGATAGAAGAATATCAGTGGCTGTGCTAGAATTTATAAATATGTATTGACAAATCCATATTCATGGCAAAATTCAACTTCCCTAGATTGTTTAACAGAAGTACTCACTTTTTTAAAAAAAATGAAATTTGTAGAGACATATTTTTAATGGTTTTACTGCTCAAACACAAAAATAAACATATCCTCATTTTAGAAAGTTCTGTTTCATTAAAAGAAGTGAGATTTTGTTATAACATTGTGTAAAATATTTTGTTCTTGAGGCTTCAAGTTTAATAAAAAGAGTGACTGAAAAATTCATTACTTTAAAAAAATATAACAGATATTCCCAGTACTTCCATCTTCTACTCCAACTCAAAATTTGGAAAATTTAATATGTTCTACATATTTTGAATTAATATTGAAAATATTCCAGTTATTTTTTTAAAATCAGAAAACATGTAGTTTTTGCGTATTGTGCTTAGATGCACTATTTGCCCTGAGTGTATTTTGGAAGTAGACCTAGAATTTTCTTCCTTCGATCCCTCTTTTGGACAAGTTGTTGCCCTGTGACCTGAGGTGATCCCCTCTTTCCTGAAAGCATTTAATGTTTCCTGCACCTGGCACTAATTAACGACATTATGCAGAGTCCTAATTAATTATTACTAAGCATCACATTTTTTCATTGCTCCATATGGTTTGATTAAATGATAGGCTAAAAATAATACATTCAGTCTCAGCTTGTGTATTCCAACAGAGTTTCCACAATGTGAAATGTTTGAAGTATCTTAAACTAACACAAATTTTTAAAGTGAAAAGCAAGTGCCAGTTACTTCTCATGATAAACTGGTTTCATCTTGCGTGTTTGATGGTGTCTGTCCATTGTCTTTACAGGGAAAGCTTGATATAAAATTATTGAATTATACTTTTTTTTTTCTTTCTCACAACTTGGTGAAAAGGATATCTTGTTTTGGCATTGAATGGTTCTGTAATGAAGTCTGAAGCTTCCAGAATATTTTCCCTTTTGGACTGGAATGTTCTTTTACTGTACTGTATGAATACCTATGTAGCTCTTCCAAATACTTTTGCTGGCTTATACTTTAGTGTGGCTCATCCTGTATCTAATATTCTTGGGACACATCAAACCTCTTGAGACTATATAATCATAATTTAATTTACTTTGTTTCATGACTATATTCTTCTGTTTTTATCCTTGAATATTTTTTCGTGTTTGTTTTTCTTTTTTTTAAGTACATTGCTTATGTTGGCTTACATTTTTCTA